GAATGTGAGCAAAGTGTTAATGCTCTTTCCTAAATAATTAATACCTGCAGAACATGAAAAAAAAAAAAAAGTCCTACAGTTCACTGAATATAGGAGTATTCAAGGCCTGAAATTCCCTTCAGTTTATTCAGGCAATTACTGCCAAAAATTTTGTTTTAAAAAGGTATAAAAGCTTCATCATGATGGAGTCAATGCAGTTACCAGCCAGGACAACCTAAAAAGTATTCAATAATGGTACTTTGGGTCCAATTTGAAAAGTAGCCCAAGACAGGAAGTAATTTCCTCATCCCATAAAACATTTTCATATTGCAAAAGTCCTATTCTGAGGTGAGGTATAACCAAGAGGTTTCAGAAGTTTTCACCATAAAGCAAAATTATAAAAACTCAAGTGTTGGAGGCATTCAGCTATGGTGTGCCCGAGCCAAGCTGAACTCTCCCTGTCTGGTTCAGGGACTTCAGTCTGGGGCTTCTCCTGCAGACTGGTGCCTGCCAGCCTATACGTATTCGTGTGCTGTCCTTCTCCTGGCTGAGTTTACTTTTCACAGATAAATAGTTTTTCAACAAGTAGAGGTGTAAGGGTGAGGAAAGGAGGCTGACTAACTACTTGGCTCAAAACAATGACATGATCCTTTTCCCAAGTGGGGACCGTAACAAATTGGTCAGCAAGACTTTATGACACAGGTTCCTCTTTGTATAAATGCTATTTTGGAATAGGAAAAAAAAAAATGAGACTATACCCCCAGGTGGATACATGATCATATGATCTTTGAGGAAGTCTGGGTTTAAGTCTCTAGTTTGCACCAGGTGAAAATGGACACTTATTTCTAGGGGCAGGTTTCTCTCTATATTACCAGAATCTGAATTTTCACCCTCAATTTCTAAAATATCTGAGGCAAAAATTTTCTCAAAATTGGTACTTTCACATGAAACACTTTGTTTTACTGCAGTAAGTCAGAATTTCCTGATTAAAACATTCTGCATTAAAAAATAATAATAATAAAAAAAAAATTCTGACTAAACTCTAAACTGTAAATTTTTCTTTCATCAGTACTGCTGTTAGTGGAATTTGGTGCATACGGAAATCAAGGTTAGAAGACCATTGCCCATATGTAAAATAAGTTGTTTAAGTATAAAGTCTGCTATATACTGAGGTTATGGTGAACTGAATTGACTTATCTTCACTGAAGAGAAGCAAAAATTATTTTTTCAACCTTCTGCTCATTCAGCCATCTCAGCTTCTATTGATTTCAACAGATTCACTTGCTTTAAGGTTTGGTTTGCAAGTTATACATTTTACATTTGACCTATTATTAAGATACATTTTTACCCATTTTCTCCATTGTTATCCATGCATTTTAATCCAAACAAAATTTTACAAAGGACCAGATCATCTAATCACAAAAAAAAATCCTTCTCTTTGAAAGCCAAATTAGAAAATATACATTTTTTAAAATGCTCCCAGACTCATCATTTTCTTAGTCATATTCATCTTTTCTGTATCATGATCAGAAAAAGAATGAAAATAATTATCTTTTTCTTCATAACTGAGGAGTATCTTTACAGAACAGGGTAGGCTTCTAATTTTCTTCTGCTGCTTATGGCCTGACTTAGGAAATTATTCAATGTGATTGCGGACAAGATCTAAAAACAATGCGGGTGTCTACAGTGTGACTTACGTGAAATTGAGGCACCTAAGTGAAACGTTTTGCTCAAAACGTCCTTCTGGATGCTAGGTACCTCCCTGGCCACGTTGGGTTTGGCCTCTTCTACTGCCCACAGCTTCTCACCTCTCATCAGGGTGGCGCCTGCTTCACCTGTCAGGCTGATCAGGACTCAGAAATCAGCCTTCTTTTCCTTAAATCTCTTGAGGAATTTGATCTAATAGTTGTTCACAGATCACAGCCAACAACCATGTGAAGAATACAGATGAAGTCACTATTTTTAAAACTTGGCCCTCGAGAGCATGATTGGTAGTAGTGCTTATGTGTTATATATGCTAGCTATTTCTTACAGCGCTTGCCCAAGAAATGGAGAATATATATTTAATTTCACCTTCTGCCAGGGAAAGTTCAAGCCCACATTTCCAGCTCCACAGTCTAGTTAGTTAACCATTGCACTACAAGATACTGGTGGGTCTCCGACCTCGGGACCAGAGGTATTTTCCAAAGACAGTTTAACCTAGCAGCAGAGAGTTTACTTGCTTCTGGCCAGGAAGGGAGCTGCACTCCAGGCTTCTGCGTCTATACAAAGGATCAAACCAGTTGGCAGTTTCACAGCCAGTGGATGTGGCTGCTGGCCCTTCCTAAAACAAACCATGAACCTTGATTGGTCTGTGAAAGGATGGTCAGAGGTACCTCTCCCAGCCTGAGGGTATCAGATGGACAATTCACCCACCACGGCTGTCGCCTCGCCAGCAGACAGCTAAGCCTGGATGTAGGCAGGATGGAACAGCCTTCTCCATGCTCAGAGTCTGCTGCCACCAGGCACCTTGTGGACATTTCCAGCCTCCTTCCCTAAATATCCCCTTGGAGACTTTCCACGTGGTGTGTTCACCATCCCAAAGACATTTCATGCAAAACAAGTAGCCCTCAATAAACTGCATTTATTGAAACACTTCTCTCTGGGTATTTTGTCCTTAGTTATTTAAATAGTACATTACTATAGCAACTAGTGCCTCACTATCTTTAATATATTAAACTTCATTACACCATGTGAGGCAAGGGAATATTATTATTTTACTTTACAATGGTGGGAGCAAGATATAGATACTAAATGGGTGTTTACATAGAAAAGCTAGGTGAGTATTTCAGCGAAGAAAGTGTAGATAGGTTAACTCTAATTTAGCAGTCACTGGTAACAACAGGAGCAAAGACAAACAATCTCATGTGGGCTAGGAACTGGGAGCACGAAACTCCCAGCCCACACTGAAACCCACACGGGCACTTGCCCCTGGCTCCCCTGTTATGGGCTCACATGTCGAACAGACAAAAGCCAGGGGAAACTCACATTCATGCACATTTTGCATCCACATATACTTTGTTGGGTGATCAGGGGGCTGAGTATGATGGGCATGAGCTTTCCTTTCATGAGTCACAACACAGTATTTCAATCCTTAGATTTGTGCATACAGGAGCCCAGTTCTGGACAAAGCTGAAGCATCACTCAGCTGAGAGCCGTAACCCCAGCACCATGTTCCATCCCACTCCTGGGTCAATACTGTATTGAGCAGGCAAACACTACATCACACGGGGTGTTGTGCGTGTGTGTACTGCATATCATACAGTACTATACAATTTAAGACATGTCACTTCTTGAAGTCAACAGTATTTAACTGAGAAAGCACATGCATTGATAGCACTTTATTAGCATTGCTGGCACATCGCTCCTGTAAAGCAGAGTGGCAAATGAGGTCACTCCTTCATGTGAAGAAAAGTGTTGTATTATTCCAATACTCATTTTGATCTTTAATTTATTTGCTTCGTTTAAAAAAAAATCACTGACAGATATGTTGATTCAGAATGTCTGCTAATACTAGTGCTCTGAGGCTTATCAAAGAAAGACATGTTTGAAAAGTAAGCTATATTATGAAAAAGAAAGAAAAATCAGAAGTCAGATATAATACAAGGGTTTTTTTTTTTTTTAAAAATCCTCTGTTAAAATTATCCTCGAAGTTTTAACAGCAGCTGTTGCTTCAAATAGATTTTCAATTTTTTTTTACTTTTTCGATTAAGATGTTTGAAGAACTAAGTTTAGACATAGATTTAACTTAACCAGTGAGTCAGTAATTATAAAATACTGCATATGATCAGGAGATCTAGGCATAACATGAGTAGAAAATGGCCACTCATACAGACAGCTAATATATATGGGCTTGAGACACAGTCTGCAGATGTAACCTGAAGACTCCTTACTGACTTTAGCAAGCTTCAAATAAAAATATTGAATAAAATATTGCAAAGCCTGACTGTGCCCTGCACCAGAATTTGCATGGAAAACTGTTATTGACTATGAAATCATCATCTTCTGCAGTCGCAGGTTATGTTTTTTAAATGCTCTGCTGCTAGTTGTGATGGTTACAAAGAAGAGCCTGAAAAAGGTAGATGAAGGTAAGACACTACAAGAACATATCCCTGAGTTTTCAAAGTCTGAAATAGTGTTTGTGAAAAGCAGGAATGCAGCCTTCATCTGAAAGGCTTGTTAAATCCCAGGCCCTGGGGTAACAGCAGGCAGAGAATTGAATTCAGTAAAGAAACAGTGAATTTCAAATCGATATAAAAATATATAACACTGTTGTTACTGTAACTGAATGTTGTTCTTTTTAAATAGGTGCTTATTACTAGGTTTACCAAAAAAAAAAAAAAAAGATTATTATAATTTGTGCAAGCATTTCTTTCAGCATTGCAAAAGAAAAAAAAAAAAAAAAAAGAAGTAATGAGGGGGAGTCAATGCTGATAGTAGGAAAAGCCTTGGGATGTGCTTTGTATTGCAGCACATTGTAACACACCGTCAGGGACGCGCTCTCTTTCCAAGGATGCTGCGTGTGCTTCCCAGAGAGACAAAACCTCCTTTCACAGGCAGCAGGTCCTCTGCTGATAGCAGGGACACAGGATGGAGGGGACTGCTGCGAGGTGGAGAAAGGCAGGGGGGTGTTCCCGCAGCCCAGCTGGGAGGTAAAAGAGATAAACCACTTGTACCGTTTCTCCTAAGGGAAAAACTCAACACTGGTGAGCGGTTATGTGAAAAGTCCTTAATGCTCTTCCGAAGCCTGTGATTAATCTTGCGAGATGTCTGGGGGCACCAGAAAGGAGCCCTGCTTGGAGAACAGGCTCCTGAAGTTGCAAAAATTCTTTCAGCTTTCTCATTGTCATTTTAAAAGGTAAAAGCTGAGGGGGTCTTACTGGTACGTTTGGTTGGTTGTTTTGTTTTGTTTTTTTTAGTTTTTAATACATTCAGAAGTTGTCTTGAAAATATAAATGGGATAAAAAGCATAGTCCATTTACCTTTGTGCACTGCCTGGGTACTCCTTGTCCACTATATCCATCTTTTGTTGCTTGATAGGAAGCGATGTAAACTCTCGTAGTCACTGGCTTAAAAGCCCCACTTTTGGGAATCATGTGAAAAGTATTTCTTCTAAAATGAAAAAAGCAAACAAAATGCTTTTTTTAACCATCAAGGCTATAGATAAGAGCATGGAAATATATGAAAGTAACCAGCTTATTGGTGCTGAAGGTGTCTACTTTGGATGGATTATAAAATCCATCTTCAAATATTTCAAGGCACATTTTATAACAGACATTTGACTGTTGAAATAATAGTAAAAGTAAAAATAATGGAATAATTTATTTTTTTTTAATCAGGTTCTCTCTTCAATCTATAACAATATTCCAGTTAATGACTTGACCTATTATATGGTTCTGTTATATGCTAATAAACTTAATATAGTCCCATTTCAAAAGTGCTTTCCAAGATTATTGTATCAATTATTCTTATTAAAGTCTTCTGATGATGACCCTGTGGTGTGGTTTGCGCAAATTCAAGGTGTATTGTTATTATGACTCCCTAACCCTTTAAAACATGGCTAGTGTAGATGCTACGTTTTGAACGCTATTACACCAACATGTTGCTTTTGTATATTAGCAAACCCTTTTACAATAACACTGTCAAAGGAAAGTAATGCCACGGGTAGCTGTACATTGAGCAAATTAATGGATCTGAAAGAAATTGCAATGTGGTAAATAATCTTCTGTCTACTATAATTAAGGATGTAGTTGAGAAGAGGAAGATTACTTATCTGCTAGCATGAAAGGAAAAGACCGTGAATGAAAATAAATTATGTGCAGCCCTCTCCAGCAAAGAGGACTGCCCCTTGGCGCTCACGCCAGGAGATTTATGCATTCCTGCAGATGTTCCTGCATCTGCCCCCTCTCCGGCATGGAGCAGGCAGCTGCTCCGGCAGCCGCTCCTGCCAGGGGTGAGTCCCGCTGGGCTGGCAGGAGGATGGAGGGGGAACCTGCAACCCGACGGCTGCCACTGCTCCTCTTCCCTGTATGGCAGGAAAAGGCAAGGCCAACATCATCGTGGCACCAGCCTCCTCATGCTGCACCAGTGACCTACCACCTCATTACACGACATTAGCAAATTATTCTCCATTCAGATGTTGCAAGTACTGACATGATATTTCTTTGGCTGACGTGACCTCATGTATGCCTATGTATATATCATGTCATATTGAACCAGGGTAACTAAAAGCTTCTGAAAACTGGGAAATCTTTAAATGGTTCAATAGCAAGTACTGTTTAACTACAACATGAACTATCCTCCCACTCCCTGTCCTGCCTTTTAGAAGGGCTTATAGGATGTTTATTCCCCAGACCCCTGCTCACAGCACACATCAACAAAACCAGGAGGTAGGTGAAGAATAATTTCACCTGGAGATGATTTCACATGAGATTATTTGCAGGGAATATAGCACGATGTATTTTGGACAGTAGTGAATGACCCATCTACCTGTGTGCAAGCCAAAGAGAATGCATCCATACAGTGTCCAGACCAAACTCAAACAAACATTGCATCTCGTCTCCTCTTTATTTGTGGGTTTCCTCCCATCTGCAAAAATAATCTAGTGGAAGGTGTCCCTGCCCGTGGCAGGGGGGTTGGAACTAGATGATTTTTAAGGTCCCTTCCAACCCAAACCAGTCTATGATTCTATGATAATGTCCTGGCTACCTCCAATGAGAGACAGTGCTAGAGGGGGAAAAGCTAGGAGGAAAAATTTTTGCAACTGAAGACCTGAATTCCAGGAAATATAAAATTATTCATATTCATAGGGGTTCAGGGACCCTATGTAATGTTGCTAATTACTCTGGATGCATAAAGAAAATCAAAATTAAATTAGTATGTTTCAGGAGAAGTAATCTCACTGTGGACATCTGCATGGTCAGAAAAAAAACAGGAATTTTCTTCTCTCTATCACTTGCAAGAAAGACTCAAGAACACTTCAGAACGGACAACAAGGTTGCACGGAGAGTTTTTTTCTAACTCCAGTATGTGACTGGCTAATTCCATGAAGCGTGAGCATCTTATGAAGTTGTCACTATACACTTGAGAGTGGATGCTCTTACTATCTATACAAACCCTTATTCTTTAGAATCCTAACAGTGACTAACATTGAGTTCCAGGGGTTAATAATGTGAGAAGAAGGTGGGAAGAAGATGTATAATTTTATGTTTTCTTACATGTTTGAAAGGAGAGAACTTTCAGTTTTATTGAATGTTTTATCCCTCTTACATTAAGAAAGTTTATATGATCTCAGAGTTTACCTCCAGGTAAGTAATATACAATACTTAGTATTTTATTTACTGCTTCCTTTTTTATCATTTCTACAAAAGTTAAACCATCTAATTATTTTTATCTATCCACCTATAAAACAAAAATTATCTAAAGGTTTCTCTTTTTTACAGTTTGCGTCTTTGCTCAGTATATCCCTTCGTTAGTGCCACACATTCTATGAAATAACCAAAATCGAAGACATAATTACAGGTGAGGTCATACCATTGAGATGATTTGTTGGTACTGTAACCTCTGCAATAGTAAAAAATGCAAAAGAAAAATATCCTAGTATTTTGTTTGCCTTTCATTTTACCATTGTGTCCAGATATAGTATTATACATTCCACTACACAACTCAAAAATCCTGAGAGAATGGATTAAAAGAGATATGTTTACTTTTAGCAGCAACTGTAAAGTTTTTAAGAGGTATATTCTGGTTAAAAGGTGCAGACTTAGTGTTTTTTTCTGGTCTTTTGCAATCATAGCATCACCTAAGCTGATAAGCATCCTGACTCTCACAGACCTTAGAAGTAGAAATACTGGCTCATAATCATTCTGAAAGCTCCTGGAGCAATCCAGAGGCCAAACTATATTACTCTGCATTGGTACAATACTGCTTCACAGGAGAACTTGAAGTAATGTAGTAATTTGAATGGATGGGAGTTCAGATGGAGGCTTTTTTTACCCAGAAAATCCAGGTGTGTAAACTGTTAAGTTGTGAATCTGTGAGTCAGTCTGGGGAACAAACATCCTCTTTAATTGCAAAGGATTCCAGCTCAGTTTTCTCAGCATTGCCTTTTCCTTTTCTCCAGATGTCCTGCAGCATGGCCCCTCATCACTGCTTTCTGGAAGAGCAGTGCAACACTAAGAAAATCGAGTTACAAATCCTTTTTCTACCTCCAACTTCTCACATTAGGTTGGCCAAGTTGGTCAAAATTTGGTTCTTGATTCTTATTTAAGGCTGTGACAATATGTTTTTCTGCAAAGCACAGGCTGCATGAGAACCCATAGGCTATACATATATATGTGTGCATATATATATACACATACTATATATATATATATACACACACATGTATATATATGTATATATACACGTGTGTGTGTGTGTGTGTGTGTATATACACATGTATGTATATACAGAAGTAGTGTCACATCCTCTGGTCATGCAGAAGCTACACAAATAGCCCAGAAAGTCTCCCAGGAAGGTGAGTTTTTATTTTAGTGGAAGAATCAAACTAGAGTTTTTTGCTGTTATTTTTCTTCTCAGCCTAATTTCTAATTTTGTTTACTTTCTTGATATGACCACTGACATCTGAGGAGAAGAGATTGCTGACTGCAAATATATCACCCTTTGGCAGAATCATCCCAGTAATTTGTGCTGACCGCATGAATATCTAGGTAGTTAATACAGCAAGGGAAGGTTTGACTTTTTCAAAGGGGTGGAAAAAAATCTCTCTCTACATAGTGTTGAGTGAAAATACAGGACCTCCTTGAACAATTCAGTTAGGAAGAAAGTTTGAGTTCAAGTAAAAAAATCCTTATTTTCTGTTACTCCAGTGTAGATTTGAATTTACTTTATTGAAGTGAATTAATTTTTGTGTTACCTTCAGGTAAATGCTCAGAATTTAGCTACACTGCATCAGTATGCATTTTTCCCTATTAAAAAAGGTAGAATATTGTAACTTATGTTTTAATGGTGAAGAAGGAGGCATTAGAGCCATATCTGAAGTGGAAGTTTTAGCTCCTGTGTCACACAATTGCCAGGGAAATGTCACATATGAGCACAGGACTGCAGCCTGCCTACCTCGGGCAGTAATTACTTTCCTGGCTTGCAGTAGTTTTCTTACGGTGTATTTAATTTAAAAGTAGGTCTTTTCCATATAAATTTGTAAATATATATATTTATGTATATTACATATACATATACATACATATATGCAGGTGTATATGTTCTGGCAATGAGAAAAAGCAGTGTAGGAAGTATGCAGCATGCAGCATAAGTGGCATCCTTCTAGTAAGGCCAAAAATGAGACCAAAGACAAGTCTAAGCACACTGAAAAAAGAAAAAAAAAAAAACAGCCCCTCAAATCATGAGACTTTCAGTGTGTGAATTAGTTAGTCTAAAGACAACCCAATTATTGTCTCTTCAGTGTTGATTCTAATTCCTTCTGGATATTTTTATTCATTTCCTTGAGCTTCCCTCGGGCTGATTTCTGAGTTTTTAAGCTAATTTTTAGGTTTGGGGATGTTTGTTTTGGAAACTTCAGAATACTTGTAGTTTTCATGTAGCTGATATTATGGCTTAATGGACTAAGCCCACAGCTCTCTATTTCACACTAAATTAATGAAAAATATAAATCTATTAATGACTTATTTGATAATAACTCCAAAATTATGTGAATTATATTTTGGAGTAAAAATAGGCTGCTAAAATCAAAACTAAGGAAGCAATCTCTGTGTATTCACAATGGCTCTTAAATCAAATGATTGTTTTGTGTTTGGGCTTTTATTACTGTTGTTAACATTTTCAAATAAATAGTATGTAAAATAACCCAGTATTCCATTTCATATTTGGTGAGTTTTATAGAAGATCACTGGTTATTGGAAATAAATTTGATGTAATTCCAAATGTCCATTGCAGTATGAATGCAAAGTTATTAGCCTATCTAGTGAGATTATTTGTATTTGGAGTTTCTTCTAAAATTACTGCAAACAGAAATGAGTGGTAAAAGAAAACATCCTGAAATCTCTGCTTAATAGACAGGAAAACAAGAGGAAGGTAGAGAGAGAGAAGGATGGAGCTGATGGTAGATTAAAAACACTATTGCCCTAACAGTCAACTGAAAAAGTCCAAAGAATCATAAAGCCTTTATAGAGAGAGATTTAAAGAGAAAGGGAATAAAAATGATCATTCTAAAACTGCTAGAATATTCACTTGTGGCTCTGTTACTCCAGCAAGACACCCACATCTTCCCTTCATGCCAAATAGAGTAGCACACATGCATCAGCAGACTGACAAGACAAACTAACAACATTTTATGTAGGGAGTTATATTAGACATCAGTCAGTAAAGTCTTTTATAATTCTATAAAACTACAGTTGTGGTCTTTCAAAATCATCATTACTGAACCCATTTTCTTCATTTGCACATACTCATCCTGTCCAGAAAACTACTAAAAATCTGTGCCATGATTGTGGGTCCCTTTTTCTTACTTCTAAATTTAACATTGTTTTATCAATAGAATCCTACAGTTTTGGTCCTGTCCTGAAATTCAGACGTACATTAACTTAATGATACTATTAAAGGATGACATCTATAATGTGTCACCATAGTAGAAAGACCTTGCATAAATTTAAAGTATTTCAATAAAATTGAAGCCATGCTAATGAAGCAGTAATTTGCTAACATTTTCAGGTTTTCTTAATGAGCAGAAGACGAAGGTGTAACTTGAATCATGATTGCATATTACTATTGCAATATTATTCCGTCTTATTCCTTTAAACGAATTTGAGCTACATGAGTCAAGATGAGATTGCATCAGAAACAGGACGGAAGGAGTGGCAGCAGGTATTTTTCTGCAGCATAATCACTTACAATATATTCTTGCTGATAACTTTAGGGTGGGTTCTTTTTGTACCGATGCACACAGTTTAAGCTCTCACCTTGAAGTTAATTTTATTCTGTAGTAGGCAGAGCAGCCATTATGTAGGAGCAGAATGAATTTCAGAGAAACCAGTTTCACATGCAAACACACGGGACTTGTGAGTATTCTTAAATGCTGCTACGATGCAAAGGCCTGTCTTCCTGAGATGGTGAGGGAGGATGGCTCAACAGGAGGACACTCCTCTGCGACCTGTGGAAATACAAATACATCTTGCTAAACAGCCGCAAGTCACTAAAGTCTAGAAATAAAAATGGTGAGAAATAGCAGGACCCAAAGCTCTAGTTGTTAGGAACTTGGACTAAAAGTTGAATGCCTCTGAAGTATGAACCAAAAATCCTGATGCACTGAGCAGGGATACGCTCTGGATTGCAACAAGAAATACTGATGCCAGAGGTAAGCCTAAAATCTCCTGGCTGTCCTGAGCTCTGTTGCCTGAGCCAAAGCTGAGAGTACAGTTCCTGTGTTGCCTGGAAGGAAGCGCAGAGGCATCTTGTAAAGGCAGCTGCCCATCCCTAGGCAGGCAGGGCTTTCTCCTTTTAAAACCCAGATGAATGATGAGGTACTACTGACCCATACACAATGTCAGAGTTTCTGAACAAAAGACCCATTTCTAGACCCACCCTAAGGAGATGTGAACTCCCCTTCCCCTGTGCCAGGGGGTGCCTGGCCAGAGGGACACCCTTCAGGTCTCCTATTTCAACTTGTCAGGGGACCAGAAGTGCGGAGGGACATGATTTTCCGAGTTTAACATTTAGGGCTCTCAGACGGTATAAAGGAGCACTGGTTCCTTGTCTTGCTCCCATCCATCTTATTCTTCATACTATAAACAGTTATCAGGTATACATGGAAACAACTCCGATTAACAGACCGTTATCAGGCCTAACAGGGAAGAACACAACCATGAGAGAGAAACCCACAAAAATGAAAGACAGCATTTTGACTTGTCTAAGAGGCTTGTTTTCTTCACGAATACTTGGGTACTGTAAGGTAAGTCTATTACTTCTGCACGAACGGGATAATTGATACCTGAGCACATTCTGCAGCACAGAATAAACTGGATAAAATTGTGAGGAATTCAGATTTTAACCAATTTTTTTTTTCTCCCCTCCTCTCTCTCAATATTTTTTTTTTTTTTGTGAAGGCAGGGAGTGTTTAAGAGAGGATAGAGACAGGACTGTGGTGACTCTAATTTTTCACCTGGAATTTCTCAGGTGAGAGAGAGGTGCTGGGAATTAATCAGAACTCCTGGGCCAAGGTTGCCATTTTTCTTCAAGTAAAGCTGCTTTTGCCAATATGTTCCTAATTCATGATATTTACCTTGGCCAAACACTAGTTTTAGATCTAGTAATTCTTGACTCATCAGGTCCAAAGAGGCCTACCAAACCAGTTTTGACATATATACAGATGCACTCCAATACTGGGGAGTGGTTTAAAGCTTTATTTGCAGGATTGAAGCCTTGACCATAGAAGCTGTGAATGGGATGTTCTTGGCACTTCTGATAGGCAAAGGGGAAACCAGTATTTATGTATAGGTGCTTCCTGACTGTGTTCCTCACCCATAGCCTTTACATAGTTTATTGCTTTTACTGGTATGGGAGTGGAGCAATACTATGCTGGGCTGCTGCCAAGATGAGGATGCTATTAAAACTGCATTTTAAGGTTTACATTTTGAGTGCTCTTTTATGCAACTTTAGATTTTGGCTGAAATGTTGTAATGCTGGAGAAATGTCTAAAAATAATACTTTGTAATTGCAACGTATAAATCTTACATAACACTGCCTTTCAGCTGAGACAGCTACATTTGCAATGGGAAACTGAAGCCCTTGGTGCTTCTGGCTACAGCAGAGATTCAAATGGCGAAGAAAAAAAAGGAAAAGTCTTGTTCCTTCCTGTAGAGAGTTTTCTTACTGTCAGTATTTGTATCTATTACTAGTGGTATCACAAGACCTGAACAAGATGCGAACCACGGCACAAATGCGAAGTACAAGAATTTACACAAGGTCGTAGCAGACAGGACTGAGTGAGATGGCAGCAAATCTGTTAGGGCTGCAATCTGTTTTCTCTAGGCTTGAGTAAGGGTTGATCTAAGTGAGTAACAGGGACAGGCTGGGGCAGAAATAGGAAAGTATGAAAATAGGTGCTAATGTGAAGAGGCTGAAAGAATCTGGCAGGATCCTGCCATAGTAGGATAGGATCAACAGAAATATTGCATGTCTGGGTTATAAGCAATCAGTGCAAAGCATTTAGCAAGCAACAGGCTCAAATTTGGGACTCAGAATTTTCTTTTTCTCATCTTTCTGTTCATACTTCATATTAATCTCTCTGAAATTTAAAATATGGTTGAAGGTAATTACAAGTTAACTAATAATCATTAGACCCCAACAAAGTAAGTTTTGTCTCTAAGAAACACAAAAATAAACCAATTATATCTCTGAGTATAAAATAAATTTCAAAACAGAGCTATTATTTAAGTGTCTTTAGTCTTTAGGCAGAAACAACTCTTTTCCTGTTTAATTTGGATGAGGTATGAGATCAATATTTACTGTTCTGGATCCACTTTTTTGCATCTTTCATTTTTTAGTTTGGTAAATAAAAAGCATATAGTTGCCATAGCTATGGCTATATCTTTGTAATTTAAGGATCAGAACATGAAAATTCTATCTTGAAATTATTGCACATTTTAATCTTCTCATCTAAGGCCTTCAGCATATGATTGTACAGGTGTGTACTGACTTCTTAACAAGGTCCAAAATGCAAATCCCTCTCACTAAACTGTTTTTCATTCAGCAAAGAAGTAAAACTAATAATTAAACCAATTTTTTTCTTACCATCATTAGGTGGGAGAGGAGATCTGGGCAAGAATTAGACACCTGCATATTACATTGTAAGATATTTTCATATTCCCCTGTTGAGCATGTTATGAATAATGGCTTTTGATAAATTTCTCCAGCCTTATTCAAGGAAAAATTGTTGTCTTCATCAGTGGAAGCAAAAAAAAATATCTTTTTCTCTTTTTCTTTTTGCCCAGATCTCATATTTCTATGCTTGCTATAGAAAGCTATTACTGGAACTCATATCTAATAAGTTTCCTTTTCCATCACCAAATAACTCCCTAATATCCAGTATTCATAGGTGTTTGTTTTAGATATTGTTCTCCATGATCACTTTTTTTTCTTTTTTTTTAACCTGTAAAAGGGTCAAGGTTTTCTTTTTTCTCCTCTCCTCTCTTCTAACTTCAGAATTTCTGTAATTAATGTAATTCCTCCATTGTCAAGTGACAGCCACCAATATATATAGCAAACCACACTTACTTGTTTTGCTTTTGCTCTGTTGTGAAGACAGCATTTCAGATGAGTGCTGAATGTTCATGGTTCCTGCTGTAGCTGACAAGGACCAGCTTTGGTTTTCTGACATTTTCAGGTGGACTGATTTATGCAGGGTGGCAAGTCTTTGCATCTCTCCTCCATTGTGGCAGGGACGCCGTTAGCCTCTGCTGGGCCAGCGGGAGCCAGGATGGGAATGGGAAGTGGGGTGGGCAGGAAGACTTTAAAAAAAATTAAAAAAAGAGGTGTCAAAGCATAGAACTAGTGTTTTTTTCCATTTTCAGACAAAAGAGCCATGGCAGCAGCCTTGCTTCTGAAAAGCAGATGTAACGTGGGTGACAGGAAAAGGGTGAATTTAAAAGTCTTGAGAGTAGTTCTAGCAAAACATGCGGCACCCATTTGTACAGGTGACTGGTAAAGATGGAGTTTTGCCTAGGGCAGCAGAGCCCCTCCGGTCTGACCATGTGAGGGGATTATTCAGGAAAGCTGCTCTTCAGTCAGTGTCAGGTACGTGTAGCAGATAATGCATAACTTGACGATGCATCATTTATGCTATTGTCCTATGAGGGTTATGAATTCTAAAATGTAAAAAGCACGGTATGACACACATCTACTTTTTTCCACTCCCTTTAATGATATACAGGAGTAAAGATGTACTAAAAGCAGATACGCTAGCTCAACTATACCCCATCACAAGAGTTTTAGATATCAGACAAAAAAGATTCATACTTCTAATTATGCAGAGTGAAATGCAATAGTAAACTCAAAGACTTTTTTTTAATCTTAATGCTTAAATGTTAAGCTAGATATAAAAAGAATACATAAATACATCATAAATTGTTGATTACTTTGAAAGCTTATTTGAAATTTCTCCACTGTGTTGCTGACAGTGAGTGTCCTGAATTGGCCTAAGAGATGCAACTTAATGTGGAAAACACCTTGACAGCATGTATATTCACCTGACAGTGAGATGAGGGGTTGGGGTGGCGTTCAAAGTACTGAAGTGATTCTGTCCATATGAAAATAAAGCCATTACATAATCTGTTACAAGTTTGTGAGACTCCTAACACAGGAACAGTGAGGGAGAAAATAACTCAAAATTCAGCCATTAAATCTGGCCTGGACTTGAAGAATGCACACAAAAAAATATGACCTTGATTTTCCTGTGTTGAGTATTTCAGTGTAGCATAAAACTATGTTTAGCTAGTTCCCTACTCCCTGCCTTCTTTTCTACCAAACATTGCATTTGTACAGATGCATGCTCACACTTCACCATATGTACACTTATTCCACAGCATCTTTTTAAGGTGCCTGAAATTGGTATAGCAAGTGGTAAAGCATGGGTTTAACGGCCTGACTTTAGAATTATACCTACTCTTCATGTTCTGTGCATTCAACCTCTTTAAAAAGGGAGCTACTACCCTTAACCAGTCCTCTTCAGGTTGTCATCATGTCTTCTTCAATCTGTACTGGTCTTATTGCTCAGGTGCTGGCATTTATACGCTCCTGGCAAGCTCACAAATCTTCTTTCTACCACCCAGCAGGATGAGCAATGTCTTCGATGGCCGAGGGCAATGAGGGCGGTGTAGGCAGGCACGCAAGAGAGACAGCACGGTCCTTCTTTCTGCAGCCTGTGGATGGGTCAGGTGTTACTGAGAGTTAACACACCAGGGAGTGGGATGTGAAGCTGGCATCCGAATCTCTGTTTGCTTTACAACTCTCTGCTGTTTGATTAGAAAATCAGGGTTAGTCACTTCCCTTGGGAAACTCCACTCCTCTCCAAGGAAATTGCTGTGCTCTGGAAGTCTACATGAATATTGGTTTATGAAGTCCTTCTGGGGATATAGGTATTTGGTAAAGTGGAGCAGATTTTTGTGCATTGCACAGAAAATCCAGAGGAACATACTGTCACAGCCCTTTGCCACCACAGCTATTTTACAGATCCATGCAGGCACTCGAATCAGCTGCTCTTTGAAAAAGCTCGGACAAATGGAGAATTATTTCATCCAGCGATGCACGCTTTCCACTAGTTCCTCTCCTGGAGGAACTGGTGAACAAGTGAGGCAACCAAAGGCACTGCCTGACAATTTTAGCACAAAGCCAGCATCCAGTGGAAGAGCAGGGCCACACCCCATAGGTATTGATTGCCCCATCTGCATTCCCCCTTGAATGACCTTATTGCTGGCAGTCAGGCTCCATCTGCGCTACAGCCTTAGCGGCTTGTGTGTTTCCTGTCAGCGCTCTGCAAAATTAGGAAGGCAGTTTTACTTCTGTCTTGAATTGCCATAATTAAGACGCTTTTTGCATCTGATGCCTCTCTGCGTGCTGAACACAGATCATGTTTCCTGGATCATCCCCCTGCTTCTTCCCGTGCCATCCACCACCCACCTCTGTTTGCGCTGGCTGCCTTCTGCACTGCACAGGGAAGGGCAACATATGCTCCATTATCAGAAGCATCTCCCCTCCAAAATTTGGGATGGATGGGTGGCCAGCCACAGTATGACAGGCGACAGACAGAATGCAGCTCATGCGTAGGACCTAAGGGCAGGGAGAATAACACATGCCAAAACCTCCGAGGTCTGGGTGTGCTCCTGGTGGGTTTTGATGCCAGGCCAGACCTGCTGCCCCAGCTCCTTTGCTGCTCCGTGCGCTCACTCCCCCAGGGAAAAACGCGATGGGGCTGTGTCTTTAGGAAACTCAGATGAGCTCCTAAGCTGAGGGTTTCACCTTGTGCTTCCTGCCTCCTTGGAGAGCAGCATACGCTTCTTCCTGAGGTGGTAATGAAGAACACAGGTCCCAGGACGTGGGATCACGGTGCTGAATGCCAAGGCTGACATCCCACAGCCCTGGGAAGGAGGCCAGTGCGTCTCTTGAATCAGAATTTAAGGCTCTAGGCTGCCAGGAGTTTGTTAAATAGGTCTCATTCCCTACCTGCCGGACTAGATCTTGCACTTTGAACGTATCACTCAAGCTGCTGACAAATGGGTTCAGCGAGCTGAACCTGCAGGATCAAATTCTGCCTGGTATGTAAAGTCTGAGCTCATGAAGCAGGCTGGGCTTTAAAGGAAGGAAATCTCATATTTATTCATGATTTAATTAAGAGACAGCAGGCTTTTTGGCCTGTTTTGAATATATATGAAAACAAATATATAGATAAAGCTATCGTTCCTCATATCAGACCTATGGTTCTGAACAAAACGTAGCAGTTCCAGATATTCTGGATAGAATGATTTAATCCATCACTGGGGTCAGATCCTTCTCTTCCTGTACAGGGATTTAGAGCATGGCACTACAGGTTTGAATCCTGAACACCAAACAAAAGACACATGAAAAGCAAAAATCCCTCACTGAATTTCGTTCAAGCCTTGTTTGAACACAACCCTCCCTGTGCTCTGGGTTTTATTCATTAAAATAAAGCACACAAAATAACTCTCACCTACTGTTATTAATCATAAGGATTTGCTCAGGAAAACAAATATACTTGGGCTTTCAGAACAAATCAATTCAGAGAAAGGGAATATTTTGGCTGCCATGGCAGCCCAGAAGAGGGTAAAAACAAACATCTTCACTGCTGTTAGTTTGCAGCTGACTCCAAGATGGACCGCTGGTGAGATGTGATGCTATTTTTAAACAGCAATTGTTTAATCACTTCTGTTCCCCTGGGCTGAGACTAAAAATGATGCCTCCTGAGCACTTTGTCTACAAGCAGGTAGAAATAATTTGATCACATTCTTTATGGCTGCAGAGGAGATGGAGCTGTATGAAGTATCGGCAACACGTTTCACAAAGAATCTAAATATTGAATAGAAGTGACAGTTTGTTGATCATGGCATCTAAGTGGTGTAATGTCACAAAGTGATCTGCTATGAAACACATCATCATCTCCAACAGAAAAGGGAATAGCTTGCTTAAAACTGTATATTCTTTTCTGGCTTTCTTTTTTTGCTGCAGAATTAGCTCTTGGGGCTCATGTACCCACTTTGCATGAAAGGCATAAATTATTCTGAAGAACATATGTAATTGTATGTAAGCATTTCAAGTGTGGGTATTTCTGAAATTGTTTATTGGACTTGCTGTTGGTTAGTATAGTCGACAGCTCTATTGCAAACTTCTACCAAGGAAAGCAGATTTGAATACAGATGCACTTGCCAGGAAGACAGTGTGACAGTGTCTCATCAAGGTCTGAACTGTAGCCTCCTCACAATCCTTTACAAAGAAAGAGTGACCATACTCCTATACCTAGATTTTTTCAGCATACCTGCATCTTACTTGTTATACAGAAACAACTCCTATTATTAATGTTCGAAGCAGTGGGTCTAGCAGAAAAGCATTCATTTCAGCAAACTGGAGATATTTCCTCTGTCAAACTGTGATGTAACTCTGTAAATCAGCAGCATTATGCAAGCGAAAAACTTGACCTAATAGATAGAGCAAACACTTAAACCTCCAGTACGCAGAGTAATAGCCCAGCTTCACAGATGTCAATGGGAATTTTACTATTGACTACCATAGGGCCAGGATCTCACCCATATCTGCATAGATGATTAATAGCTCCCCTGCCTTTCAATATCCTCTCTGGCTAACAATAAATTATCTCTGCCAGTGATTACTTTTAAGATGTAGCTCATAAAAATGCTTGTGAAAAGCAAATAGTTTTGCCTTTGGGACAGACTATATTAAAGTAAGTGTTGGATATTTTTGAAATCTTCCCCACATGGATTGCCATAGGGCACTACAAGATCTTCCTGCCTTCATTTCAAATAATCCCAGACGCTTGCCCTGCTATAGTGTTATCTTTGTAGATATTTTCAGAAAAAAAAAGGAATAAGCTTTCTATCAAAGTGCATTTGAGTGTTTGTTAAATGGTTTTGCTTCCTTCCTTGTTTATGGGTTTGAAGAGATACTTTTGTTTACTTTGAGAAAAGATATAAATACAGTCCCTGGCATCTGTGGTTTTTTGTTTTGGTTTGGTTTGGGTTTTTTTTTTGCAGATACATGTACCCCTAAGAAATAGCACTCTGTACAAGTTGATGGGGGGAATCTATTATTGTAATTTTATTTTCATTGTCTTAAAGTGTTGGTGAAGTGCCAGCTTCAGGATGTACATCGCTAGAAAGAAAAAGTCTTACTGATAATGAAGTAAATAAGTTCTGATTTTGAAAGTTGCAGGACCCTCTCATTCAACAGTCTTGCTGTGGGTCACTGGCTATTTAACACCTCT